TTATATATAATATTTTAATAGAATATAAAATTTCTTGTTTTTCAATAATTCAAAATAACGTTTAATGCAATTAACATAGCTCCATACGCTGTTAATGTTAAACCCAGTGGCTGTTAGAATAACTCCACTGTTGTTTAACAGCACACTGTTAAAGCATTTGTGGCGTCTGCATAAAAATGCAACGAGTTGCAGAGAGCTGTTGAAACACAAACGTTGTTGCGCGTGGGTGAGCGAGAGCGAAATGAAAAGAGCAAAACGTACGCTTAAGAGCAAAGCAAAGTATTTTCGCTCTTTGCTTAACAGGCAATCAGTGGACCTATCGATAAAATTGGAAACTATAAAGAAATTAAAATGTGCATAATATTTATATAAGTATTAAATGTTTATTAATTGTGTAGCGAAGAAGAATAGAAAATGATAAAAACTGTAAGTAAATAGTACTGCTACAAATAAATTATATTTAATTACACATCAACAAATTTGAATTACTTAGCCACATTCGTTCTTCTATAACACGACCATGACCACTGTGCACGATTTTTGCCAGTCACAAACAACAAAAACAACACACTGAGCAAAGCGGGCACACACAAACACACACACGCACACTAAATATACATGCGTATGTTTATGTACATTGAAAACGACGCTCAGGCGCTCATTACAGCACTGAGTGGGAGAGTGGGAGCGAGAGAGCAAGCGTATTTCACTTGCGCGCTCTGGTTACGCGCTCTCAGCAAGCACAGCAGGCAGCCGCCAGCCGCTAGGCAGCGGCAGCACTTGCGTTGCGTGCGAGTTTGTGTGTTTGTTCCGTTCGATTTGTGGCTGCGGCTGTGGTGCGAGGTGCGCACGCTTGTAAAAGAGAGTGTGCGTTTACACGAGCGAACGAGCGTGTATATGCCGGACTGCTCACACACAATGTGGCAAATGTGGTTTTTTACCGCTGAGCGCGCCGCTCATTTTCTCAGTACGAATTGAGACACTGTGGCGCACGGTTGAAAACCTTTTCAGTAGCAAGCAGCAGAAAAGCGCACACGAGAAATCCAAATCCAAATCCAACAACAACAACAGCGAGAGACGGCAATTTGTGTGTGTATTGTTATAATTGTATTGTATATGTGTTTATATACACTTACGTACATGTGTGTGCATTTTGCATATAGCCATCAATTTAAATTAAATACTTTTTTTGGGCTTAATTAAATACTTCCGCGCGCGTCGTCGTTCTCGTCGCCGCGCCAGTTTTTCCATTGCGTGCGGCTGTATTCGCTCTCTCGCCTCGCCGCATTGACGTCGACGTCACACAACCACACATATACACTTACACACACACAAACAGACCAGACACTCTCTCAAACACACACACACAGCACGYAAACACGTTCGCATAACTCTCTCTCGAACTCGATTGTTGCTGCTCTCGTTCTAGCAACACTCTCGCTGCTTTTTTTGGGTGCCAACTATCTCTGTCGGTTGTGTCACTGCCTCTGCTCTGTTGTTGCTGTCTCCGTCTGACCACCGTGTCGCATTCGTTTTGTTTGTGTTGTATTTAAAAGGGCCGCCGAGAAGTAAGCAGCAAGCAGCGCGGACACGCGATAGTCGTAACAAAACAACAGTAAATTATCGTTTGCATTCGAATTTAGACAACAAAAAAGCAACAAACACTATTTATATTAATTATAATTAAAGTGCAGCAGCAACAATATAATTTGCAGTGCGGAGTATATATACAAACAAAATAGAAAACATAGACAACAACCAGCCAAAACACAAGGTAAGCAGAAAAGCCGACGCCTAACGGGTGAAAGTGTTATTTTACCGTTTCATTGTGCCTGCACTTGCATCGAATTGCATACATATGCAATTATGTACATGCATACGGTTATTACGTGTTTACGTGTGTGCTCGTGCGTATCTGTGTGTGACTATGTGTCTCTGGTTTGTGCATTGCAAATATCTTTTCTGAAAAGTTTGTAAAGTTTTCTTAGCGCGTCGTTTGCTTTGCTATTTTGCTTCGCAGCAACAACAAAACGTAACCGGTAGGAGCTCGCTTTGCCACCCACGAAATAGCCAAACAAAAAGGGCAGCATAAAAAAAACACAAGGTACTTTTACTCTTGGCTGCCTGCCTCTCCCACACTCTCCCGAATTTACGTTCTCTCGCTGGCGTTGTGCCGCTCTTATGCTGTAGTCGTCCTCTCCAATTGCAACCCCTATCAAAACGCGTGCAGCTGCTGCTGTTGCTGCGGCTGCTATTAACAGCTACCTGTGCGACGTGCGTGAGCCAACTCTCTTTCGCTGCCACCGTCGCTGCTAACGCTTCGTATTTTTGCTGCACACGACAAAAAGAGCCGACGTTGACGTTTGCGAACGGCTCTCACAGGTTTTCATTTCTTATTTGACCGTCATTCGCCAGCGCGGCGCCGAAGTGTACAACAGCAGAAGTCTTCAATATAACGGATGAAAATCACTTTACACACCACAGAAACACACAAAAATAAATACAAATTACAAAGAAAAGAAAAAAATAAATAAATAAGTAAATCAAATTAAAATCAAAACGCAGTTACAATTTTCCTCACATATTCGCATATGGATGTGTCTGAGAGCGAATTTAATTGTCAATTGTCAAAGTTAACTGTAAGTAGGCGCCGTCTAACTGTCATTGCAAATACCAAAGCCCATTGACAGTTTAAAATTTACAGAGTGCAGTTTTTTTCTTTCGCAACAATTAAAAATTAAATAAATAAATTAAATTAATTTAAAAAAAACTTTGAAAATAATTACAAACGAAACACTGTGCATTTAAAATATTTTAATACTTTTCAATTATTATGGACTTATAAAAAAATAAAACAAAGTCTGTAAATTCTAGCCATATTCATAGAGTGGAAAACAAAAACAAGAACTGACAAATTCAACAGTTTCTAGCAAAATTAACTGTTGTTCGCCGCCATTTTTAAGTGTGGTAAATCGCAAGAGAAAATTTGTGAAAAGCTTAATGAAATACAACAATATAAGGCCTTGTGTGTATGTGTGATTGTGTCCCTGTGTGCGTGTGTTTAAAAAGTTCGTTCGCTTTTCCAGCGCGCGGCTTTTTTGTGTGTTTCATTAATGAAAATCAACCCCCGGCATTTTTGGCCAAGCGAGCGCCCCCACAAACAAAGCAGAAATCAACAGTGGCCGCTGCCGTCGCCGCCGCCGCCGCCGACGTTGTGCTGCTTCTTCTTCGTCCTCTGTTTCTTCATTCTCTAGCAATTCTATTTTCCCATTTTCCCTTAAGGGTTGCAGCAAACAAACAACAAAATATAATAGAAAGAACTAAGAAGGAAAGCAATAGCAATAGCAAAAAAATAGCAACAACTTTTTCAAGTTTACTTTTGTACGCGGTTTTGCCGCTGTGCAAAGTTTATACGCTGGCCGTGTTTCATTTCCATTTCGTTTTTCGCCATGCACATTTGCTGCTGTTTCGCTGTTGCTCCTTCTGCCACACACTTGTCAAACTGTTCGCCTGTGTGCTTTGTTACAGCTATCCGTTTACCGCTATCCTTCGCATTCATTTTGACATTTTTCGGCCATATTTCTTTAATTTTTCTTCCTTTCGAAGCGTTGCCGTTTTGCCGGCGCTTTTTGGCAGCGGCTGCTGTGGCTGCCTTTACCGTTACTTCTTCTTCTGTTCGTCTCTACGAGGGTTGTTTCTGCAATTCACGTCTCACTGTGTGCGTGTGCTTGTGTCTGTGTGTATTGTGTTATTGTCTGCTGTTGCGACTGATTTATGCTCTCGAGTCTCCAATTTGAATGAATCCCCATTGTTGCAGCTTATCATAAAAATATATAACAAATATATATATATATATTATCTGATTAATTACACTATATATTTGGCTGTTATGAAAAGCTTCCTGTTGCTTTAATAATATTATTCAAACAAGGTTTTGTCATGCTTGCCTTAAATTCTGAGACATAGCTGCACAACATAATATTATAAAATTAAATTATATATTTTTAATAATTTTTTTTTTGTCGTATAATATTCAAAAATTTATGTTTTAGGTATAGTAATTTGATAATAATAATTCATTTGATTTATCTTCAAAATTAATTCGTGCACACATACATATGCTGTGCCACATGCGAATCGCCTCTCGTATTATTTCCATATTTTCTTTCGCGTATTTTGCCATATGTTTATAACTAACCATTGTTTATATATACATATATTTGCGCTAAACAATACGCACATAAAATTATCTACATCTGGCATATACAATATTTTTTTGTTTATTGTTTTGCTGATAAGTTGAAATTTGCCTATTTGAATAGGGCAATCGATATGATTGATATGATTGCTGATAATTCAGTGTCTAATTGAGCATAGTTCTGAGATAAAATAAATGATCAACAGTTAGATAAGCCACACAATATATAGTATATATGTATAACTTACTATGTATATCATTTCTTTGGCCTTTCTTCAGCATGAGCTTTATAATTTATATAGGCAATAAATTYTAAATGATGTATTTGCATGGCTATAAATATAATATTTGTTTATATTTTGCTTAGAGAATTCCTAATGCAAATAATTATATAAAATGTATATTTTTATTTATATAAATATTTATTTTACTAGTTAGGCTGTGGACCGTGGATACTCGCTAAAGAGGCTTGTGATTTAATATGAACAACTTCTCTCTACTCTTAGTGAATATCCACCGTATCAACAATTTGCATGGCCTACAAAAAAAGAAGAACAATATTTACCTATAAAATTAATTTTCAATTATATATTAGAAAGTTTTCCCCACATTTACCACAATTTGCATTGGCGATTTTCACTCAATGTGTCTGCTATGTTTTGATATTTTTCTTTGAATTCACCTGTTTTATTAACCTCATTTTCATTCTCTTTCTTTTCCTGCCTATTTGCAGCTGATTCTACAAACACAACACAAAGCAAGCGATTAAAATTAAATCTCGTTCAACACGCAAATTGAAAGTGCAATAAGAAGAAGAAGACGACGAAGAAAACGTCAAATGCGGTTGAAAGTTCAAGTTGATGCAATAAGTGTTTGAAAACGGAAATAGAGCTAAAAATAAAATCAACATTTCAATACCTATATATATATATATATCGATAAAAATATATATATTTACAACTCTTCAAATTCGGAGGAGCTTGGAAAATCGCGCGCGAGTTTAATCAACATTTTTAGCAATCAATTTTTGTCTCCCCCCTCTCACCCGAAATACAAGTTTTGTGGAGTTTCGTGTCAGGTGCATAAATTCTGTGTTACGTTCTGCGTTCTCAAGTGAAAGTCACACAGCAAAAGCGACAAACACCCTCACACACACTCAAACACAAGCTAACATACATATATTGACACACACTCACACACATACACATMGACAGACACACACACACGCCCGTGAGTGTGCATCGCATCAGATTGCTAGTTGTCCACTAAACTAAATTGTGAATTGTGCAAATAGGCTGCGGCCAGAAAGTAAACGTCAAGATTCTATCGAAAAAAACACTGCTCAGCACGACGGAGGCTTCGTTCAACTATAACACGGCGACCACAATGCCCTATAACGGTGCTAGCAACGGCAGTGGTGGAGTCGGCGGTGCCGTAGCAGGCAGCAGCGTAAGCGGTGGCGGGGCCACCATCGTCGTCAGCGAGGGACCCCAGAATAAAAAGATACGCACAGGCGTGCAGGCTGGAGATAACGACGTCACCATGCATTCACGGGTAAGTGCCATCAATGACATAGCACACATCGATAAATATCGATATGCGATAGACGAATTTTCAAAATCGATTAAATGATCAATTTTGGCAATATAAATAGAGGATGGTTTATGGTGCAGCAGGATATTTATTTATAATGTGTTATCGATAAATATCAATCGATTGAGTTGATAGAAATGCTCTGATTCGATGATATATTTTATTTTGTTTTAGAAATATGTTAACTATGTACAGGAATGAATATAAAATATATGTATATAGACATATAGTTAAGGCTTTTGATAATTAAGTCAAGTCAGCTTTTTCGTATATAGAATAACATTCTATATAATATTATAATATTATATCTATATGTTCTATGTATGTATCGATAACTTGAACATAACAAATGTTGCTTTAATTTTGATCGAAAAGCAATTACAATTATATCATATATAAACAACATATAATTCAATAGGAAACTTCATAATTTATATTGAGAATGCTTTGAAAATGGCATGAAAAATAATTGATCGATAAATGGTTTTCGCCAGCTCAAATTCGAACTATCAATAAAAAACAGACTGAAAGGTTTTCAATTCTTATAAAATGTATAGAAGACTCTTCTTCTCATTCGTCTTAGCTAAAACTTATCGATTTTTCGAGTTTTTTTGGATACGTGACATCGATCACAAATACATACTAAACTTTTTCAAGCGCTCAACTAGTAATTATTTCTTTACATCGTTAGTGAGTGGTTTTCGTTATCAGCGGGAATATTTTTCATAGAATTGAGCCACCCCACAGAATATCTGATAATAATTACCTGCGAAACGACTCGATAGACTCGTGCATTGGCTCCACTTCAGCCACCCCTATCAGCTAACGATTGCAACACACACATACATATAAGTAAACACACACACATACATTCATCTATTGGCTTAGTTGTTTCATTCAATCAGTTTTTGGGGTAAGGCTCTCACCCATAGTTTGCCCAGAGCCCGCACCCTTCGGCTGACATGTCAAAGGGGATGGCGGCGGCAAAGAGCCAGAAGCTGAACCAAAATTCTATTCCTGATAAAGTTTTCGACCATAACTGTAGTTGCTTTGCTTGTTGTTGTTATTTTGGGGGTTGAAGTGCAGTTGGCAAGTGAGACTCGCTCTTGAGGCTATCAACCAGCAGCAGCACCAACAGCAGCACCAACAGCAGAAGCAGCAGCAGAAGCAGCAGCAGAAGCAGCAGCAGCGAGTACTTTCTGTACTTTCTGGTCTTTTTTGATTTTCAACTGTCATATGAATTACATTTGGTGCAACGCGAGAGCTGAAAGGGGTGCTCTCTCACATTATTTGAATTACATTCAAGTTTTCTAACGGTTGCCAAGGACGGCAGCAAATGTTATTCATTGCGATGGCGATGCCATTTATATTTTTATCCGAATTTTCTCTATTTCAAAGACATATATATAAAGCTTAAGTTGAATTCGAGTTGCGAATGATTTTATATCTTAAATTATACGAAAAACTATTATAGTCTGATTTCTAATTTATAATTCAGGGTATATAAAGTAAAATTGATTGAATCTAAGATATCACCTTTGCCAATAATTATAAATAAACATTTACTTTACATAAATAAATTTAAAAAAATAACAATTTATATAATTTATAATTAAATCTTTTAAA